GCTCCACTGCCCACACCCAGGGTCCTGGGAACACCCACCCCAGGTGACCTGCTCCAGGAAGCGGTCCTCCGTCTCCAGCCCACAAACTCGGCAAGGCTTCCCACAGCACAGCCTTCACAGCCCTTTTCCAGGAGTCACACGTCACAGCTGTCACACGTCACTCTTCTGTCAAGTCCGCCAGGGCTGGGAGCTGGTCCACTCACCTCTGGGGCCACTCATTCATTGCCTGCTGACTCCAGGCGGGGGCTCCTCTGGGCCACCACATCACCACTGCTGACCCCACACTCCTCCCTGCCCTGAAAACACGGGGAACAACCCTGGACTGATTCTGAGCAGACCTCCCTCTGCCACCGCCCCACAGAGAGCTTACAGTCAGATCAAGACAGTAATGCAGGCACTCCTCAGAGGCAGGGCGACACTCAGGGTGCCAGGGACCTGCTGAAAAGCAACCAGGAGGGCCCTGCTGCCAGGCTAAAGAGTGCAGTGAACCCCCACTCCCTCCAGTAGAGGACAGGCAGCAGGCAGGGCCCCTGAGAGCAATGGGGACCCACTTGACGGTTGTGAGCAGGAAGCAGAGTGATCCCATTCTGATTAAGGCACTCACTCTGGTGAAGGCACACACTAGAAGGACCAGAGATTCAGCACACAACTATTAAAAGCCAAAAGGAAGAAACCATCCAAACAGCCATGGACAGAGGGGCATTCAGACACAAAAAGGAACCATGTACTGACCTGTGCTACAACCAGGGCACCCCTGAAACCTCAGAGTAGGTGAGGCTGGTGGTCTGTGACCCCAGGTGGGAAGTCCCCAGCAGGCCACTCCAGAGCAGGGGAGCAGTCGCTTGGGGCTGGAGGGCAGGACAGCCCAACGGTTCCCTTTCCGGGTGATGAACACTATGAAATGGACAGGGGCAAAGGGGCCTGGAAATACAAGGCCCCCCAAATGGCTTCCTTTCTACAGGCGAATGACGTGTGCAAACTGTGTATCAATAAAACTGTTCTGTCCTCCTTTAGGTGGACACAGTGAGGAGGCTGCTGCCATCTTGCAGGGTGGTGGGGGCGTGGAGAAGGGCTCAGGTGGAAGGGCCCCAGCAGGCTTCAGCTGTGCAGGGGGTGGTCCAACCCACACCGTCACCACACAGGGCACAACGCGGAGCCTTTGGAGTTGGCCTTAATTCGGTCTCTGGCCTGTAATATTAAACAATGCTGTTTCAGGCATGAGGGGGACACTCTAGAGGAACATCAGGGAATATTTCCTGAGGGGAGCAGGCTTGGGAGGAGAGCGTAGAGAAGAGAATGTCCTCTGACCAAGCAAAGACCATCTTGGAAGGGAGTGCTCTGGGGATAAACCTGCTATGGGCTTCAGCTGGGGAGCCTTCCAGGGGGAACCCCTGTGCTCCAGTGACTGGTGAATCCTGCCGAAGACACGATTTAGTGCCTGCGGGAGCACACACGGACAGACCGCCTTTCAAGAAGACGGATTTTTATTGCTGTGCTAGAGGACAACCCCTTGGAACCCAGAGTCCATCAAATGGATGGATGGGGCAATGCGCAAGGCCCCAGGTTCACCTCCAGGGTCTCTCAGGCAAGTCCACATGAATATGAACTCAAGTTCAAACACAAGACTCTTCAAACTCGGACAGACTGGATTGCATGAAGTCAGGCCTGGAGATACCACCTCACGTGACTTCGAACTGCTACAAGAACACTAAAAGCAGGGGGGGGGGGGAGGCCTTCAGTGTTTATGATGGTCTGTTATTTACACGGAAGTGCTTGTTGCTTGACAATTTAGATAAAAATGTTACTGCGTCTCTGCATGTGCTGCAGATTCATGGTGTAAAACCACTGGAGCAGCTAATGGAGTCTTCACACTTCATATCTTGTTAAAGAAGAGGGGTCCAACCTCACCAGACGCAGCCCAGCACTGAGGTGCACACTATCCCAAGCACAACCTGCCTGTGTCCCCCATCACAGGTCAGCTCTGACCAACTCCCCCATGCCCTTCTGATTCCCCCAAGGAGAAAATATGAATTTCCTTTTCAGATAGCAGGGTCCCATGGCACATAGCTTTCCGTTTAACCCTTAACCCCCCCCAGTGATGAGAGGAAAACTGGACAAGATTTATCTCTCCCCTTCTGACCGACAAACTACCTGATTCTGAGTCCTTTACACACTTATCTATATAAGAGTAACTGAAAACATTCCAGTGCTAAAGGGCATGAATGAGAAGCTGATGGCGGGCCCTGAAGATCCTACGTTGCATCTGTGTTTCCAACACGTGGATAATGGGGTCATCTGTTCATTTTACTATCTAGTTCATCATCCTCTGCACGTGCACTTTTAATTGAAACTTAACCTTTATATCCGATACTCCAAGTGGGGGCAGCACACACACAAAAAGAAATCGCCGGAGGTGGTAAGATTTTTTTCTCCAAGTGACTCTAAAAAGGAATCCTACCTTTAATTTCATGTTGAGTTAAAAAAAAAAAAAAAAAGGCTCTGACATACAAGCTTTTTCATTCCTACTCCCATATTTTGGCTCCTACTGGACAAGTTTTGGGATATCCAACAGAGAGCCTCTTCAAAGCACATCCTAGTCACCTCCCAATGCGTACCTCCACCTTTCCCGGGCCAAGCTGCCAATCACTGCGGAGGTCTCCAAGGAGAGAGGAGGGGAAATGTTCAGTCCACCCAACTCAAGACATAGGTGACCCCTGAAAGATGCAACAGCCAGCCCAGGAGAGACAAGGCGGCTTGATTAGCATGCTGAAGCCGGCCTCAGCCCCCTCCCCTCCCTTTTATGAGCCCTTGTTATATAAAATGCCACAAAGAGAACCGGAAAAGCAACAACACTTGCAGTTACAAACACAAGTTCCGATGGCAGGCCAAACCCTGGCTGCTGACCAGATGTCATTTTTAGTCATCAAAAAGAGAAACATTTTTAAAAGGCCAGGGAACAAAAGTTTTCTTGTTTCCTTTCTTTTTAAACACGCGCGCACACACACACACACACACACACACACAAAGATGGAGGTGTATGCGTCTTCAGTCGTAGGCATCCTTCCCGAGTTCAAATTTAAAGGCAAAGGCAGCCTGAGTAGGCAGCTTCTGGCCCAGCAGCTCCACCACCTTCAGACAGGATTTCCAAATGTTTCTTTCAGCCTTATCTAAATTCCAGCCTGTCGGATAATAAATAGCTACTCATTTACTATCATCATAAAAATTTAAACAGCCTTGAAACAGTTGCTACAATACAGAGGAAATGATCAAACCTAAGCTCCGAAGAGCCACTCCAAATAGTAAAACTATTGCCACGCAGCGCAGACATAAAGACATTGTTGCCGTGAAAGCCGCCGGGTGACGGGCTCCTGTTTTAAATCTACTCCGAACGTAAGAGTCAACAACTTGCCCTTTTATCCAGTGGAAAAGGGGCTTAGTAACCCTCAGCTATTACTCTACAGATTTGGTGGTGTTGTGTTTTTTTTTTAATAAAGTATCCGATTTGATCCTACACAGTGATTAAACATCTTTGTGCTCTGCAGAGAAGGGTCTTCCAACCCCTCCCCCTCCAAAAATGGCATCGAAGCAATCAAAATGGTAATGCCGGGCCTGGGTCCCCTCCCCCCGCGAACTCCCCGACTTCGCCGGGGCCGCGCGCCGGGCCCCCCTCCGGCGGGAATGGAAGCTTCCACTCCCGGACGGGGGCGCGCAGCCGGGGGGTGGGGGGCCGCGGCACCGACAGAAAGGGGTTAATGCCGCGTCCCAACCCCGCCGTCCAGCCGGGCGCCCCCACCGGGCGCGGACCCGCCGGAACAGCCATCTTTCTTTCCGGTCGCCTCCTCGCCAGCACGCCCCCTCCCACCACTTTTCAACTTTAAAGACTCGAAAGCAGCCCCGGGGCCGGAGTTGGCCTCTCCGCCGCGGCGCCCCGCCAGCCGCGTCCCCGCCTCTCCCCCGCAGGGAAAGCCCCGCCCGGGAGGGGGCGCCGCCGCGAGGGGGGAGGGGCGCGGGGCCCGGGCGGTCCAAGTTTGGCGGCGGTGGCATTCCGAAGGAAGCGCGATCGATGGCCAGGGGGCGCGGCGGCGCGGGGCGGGGGCGGCCGCGGGCGGGCGGAGGGCGCAGAGGAGGGGCGCCCCCGCCCGCCGCCTCGGAGCCCCGGGAGCGCCATTGGCTGCGCCGCTCAAAGTTCTCGGCTCCGCGGCGGGGAAGGGGCGGGGGCGCCGCGCGGGGGCGGGGGAGGGGCGGCGGGGGGCGGGGGCGCGCGGCCGGCCGAGCTCCGGCGGCGGCATCTGTTCGTGGTGCTGAAACCCGGAGCGCTGAGCTCAGCGCAACTAAGTCACAATGGACAACTTTTCCTCCCCCGAGGAGGCCGCGCGGGGGTCTGTCGCCGCGCCCCCCACCGCGGGAGCTCCTGGTGGGTCCCCATCTACCCCTAAGGCCCAGAGACCAAAGTTGGAGCAGAACCGGGGGGTCCCGGGGGCGCCTTTCTTTTGTTCCCGGGAGCTGGCGTCAGATTCCAAGAATAAAAAGTGAAGCCGGCGAAGTGGAGGGGAGGGGGGCGCCCAGGGAAGGATTTTAAAGCGAGATCTTCCAAGGAAGCCAGGAATTGCTTCCAAGTAGTTTGACGTCCAGGCTCGAATGACCGCCGTCCTCCGCTCCCACTCCCACCCAGTGTGGGGCTGGGGACGCCGAGCCCGGGGAATTTACACGTTCCAAAAACATGTCCACCAACTCAAAATGGACGCCGGGCTGCCGGCGCCTTTGAGGTGCAGCTTGTCTTTTTCGGCCACTGCCGGGGCCTCGCGCTCACCCTCCGTCGCCACGAACCGGCTCTTTCTCCCCAGAAACGGGGGGGCGATAACTTCGAGGACTGGAGACAGACCCCTGGGGGAGTCTGCGTGTGTGGCGCCTACGCTGGCACTTTTCAGGGTGCTGTCAAAGTGCCCGGCGACCCCTCCGGGGCCCCTCGCCTCAACTGGGGGACTGGTCCCCTCGCTTACTTGTTTGTCACTGAGCGTTGCGATCCGCGGCTGCCTTTCGTGGAGCTGCTTCTTGAGGTCGCCGTTCTGCGGAAACACGGAGGAGCGGGCTCAGGCCGGCAGGCCGGGGGTCAGGTGCGCCCGGGGCCCCATGGGCCACGGCACCCCGCCGGGCACCCCAAGGGCCAGGACGGCCGCAGCGCGCCCCAAGTTTCCCTGGCCGCGTCCCGCACGCGCGGCGACCGGGCAGTGCCGCGCGGGGCCGCTTACCTGTGGCTGCCGCCTCATCGGGGCAGCTCGCGGGGCGGGGCGGGGGCCGAGGCCACCCGGCGGCGCGCCCCGAGCCGTGCAAGTTTGCAGGCCGGGGTGCGTGTGCGAATGAGTGCGTGAGTGTGAGTGTGTGCCGGGGGAGGGGGGAGGAACAAAGAGCCAAGTAAACACGGCGAGTCCGTGTCGAGCAAAGCTCATAAATATTCAAGTCGCGTCCTAATCTCCCCAACACACACACGCGCACGCCGCAAAACCGCTCCGGCGCTGGCCGCCACGCCGCCGCTCGCGGACCAACAATCACCAAAACTACTTTTGCGAATAGTGCAGGACTCCGTGGGGGTAGAGGCCGAAGGAAAAGGTTGGAAGGGGGCTGTCCACGCTTCCCCTCCCCGGGACAAGCTCACGAAGGGAACCCCTCCCGGCCACCCCTGTCAGGCAGACCCGGCAGCGATTAAGGGAAGATGCCGCGATCCGATGCCAGGAGCCCTCAAGCCTCAAACAGTGCAGGATCGCGCGGGAGGAGGGTGGAGAGGGAACCAAGGAGGGGGCCGAGCCACGCAGACCTCCCCTGCCCCAGGACGGGCTCTAGGAAGGGGCCGTTCCCGGCACCCCAGCCAGGGGACCCTGGGACATGAGAGAAAACTCGGGTCGCGGGCGCCTCCACTCCCCCAAACACTCCCCCGTCTCCCACCCGACCCCCCAACCCCCAGCCACCTACCTGGTGGCGCGCGAGTTCCACGGAGAGCGCCTCGGGCCGGCTCTGCAGCTCCATCCCGGCAACTTGGGTGGCACTTTGCGCTCACTTTGGCCCCCGATCCCGGGAAGTTGTGCGGAACAGCTGGGGGCGCGGGATCCGGCGGGGGTGGACCGGGCCTCGGAGGAGGGGGGACGGGAGCCCCCTCCTCCACGGCCGAAAGGGAGGGGGACGGGCGAGAGGGAAGAAAGGCGGCCGGTCGCCGCGGCACCGAGCCCACGGCCGCCCCAACTCCTCAGGCTGCGGGGCAAGTTGCGCGGGGTCCCCGGGCTGCCAGCGCGGCCCGGCGCATGGCCCCCCGGCGCCGGGAGCCCCGCGCAGCCCCGCGCGCGCGCCCCGCCGCCGCCCGCGCCAGCCGCCCGCCGGCAGGGACTATATTTCCTCCGGCGCGCGCGCCTGGATCTCGCTGGGCCTCGGCAAAGTTGTGCCTCGGCACGATGCTAATTCGGCAGTGCCCGGATGGAGCGGGCCGGGGCGGCAGGGGGCGGCGCCGGGGCCCGCCGCCCGCCCCGCCCCCGCCCCGCCCGCGCGTGCGCACTTCCTCCCCGCCGCGGCCCGGCGCCCCGAGCGGAGAACAAAAGTGGCCGCCGCCGCGAGCCGCGCAAACTCGCCGGCCGGTAGCTTCGGGCTGCTGGTCCCCGGAACTGCTCGGACCCGGCGCTCAGATTGGGGCGCCCGTGATGTCCTTCTCCCCGTCCCCACCCGGGTCCGAGGAAAACGGGGCGCCCCCGCCCCCCTTTGCTGGGGCGCGCAGCCTAACTCCAGGGCTAATGCCACTTTGGCAGGGGAGGGGAGAGGCTCCTTTTCTCTTTTCTTCTCCCTGCCCCGCACTGCACCTTCTTTCCCCCTTCTCCCTCTGCCCCCGCTCCACCTCCCCGTCCGGTTTCCTCTAAAGTATCTTTCATCGTCTCCCGGGGCCCTGTTCTGCGACTTGGGGGACTAAGTCGGTCCTGTCGCCAGATTCCCCACCGCCTGATGGCCACCGTGTTGTTTAAGCACTGTGAAAATTGATCTCTTGAATGTGCCTTTAATGATTTTTTTACACTCACAATTAAACTCTCAACAGATGTCCCTGGACTTTTTAAGACAGTTGTTAAAAATCGTAAACATGCCGGGTCAATGTGACATAAAACAATTATAACTAAGCTGCGGAGATCACATTTCAAAACTCCCAGCCCCACAGCCGGAGGTTAATGTCCCCGAGTCAATATTACCACGGTGGAATTACTGTCCTCATCAATGAATGTCGGAATGTTTTGTGCCTTATGGTAGCACACGGGTATGCTGGGAAAACCCTGAAGAGAAAGGGTGCAACAGTATCTCAAAGTAAATGTTGAAACTGGCAAATAGTTTTAACTCTGCACACCTCCTGAGCACAAAAATACCCGGGCGCACAAAATCAGCAATGTCCTTCAACAGATGGCACCGCGTCCCACATTTCTTCTACTGTCAGCAGAAGTCAGTGGAATTCCTTTTTTTTCCCCTCACGTGAAGCCCCCATGTTGCTCCTTCCTCTATTAGAACATTGCCACAACTGACTTAGGCTTCATCCTTCAGGTGTGGAAGCCCCTCATTCCCTTAACCCAGCACCTAGACTTCAATGAGCTTTGTTATCAGATGAAAAACTAGCACGTGTCCTAAGTGGTTGTGATCCATTTGGTCTAGCACCAAGCAGGGCACAAAGCAGTTTTCATAAACACAAATCAATAAGGTTAACTGGGGTGGGAGGTGCCGCCTTGGGCCAATGGGGTCAAGGCCCTGGCTCCTCCCACTTCCAGTTTATCACACTCAGGATGGCCCCGCCCCATTTACCCCCACCCATTTCCTTGCTACACATTGAACCTCTCTTCTCACACATGCAAGGTAAACCCCAGCCCTGGGGTTTTGCTGGGCTGAACAGCAGCTGGTCAAGTGGACTGCCCTGGGCACCTGTCTTCTGAGGACCAGAGAGAATACATGAGAGAAGAGGATCCCTACTGTTATCTCTGTAAATGTCAGTGGCCTTTGGTAAAAATTCAGAGTAATTTCATCGTCCGTGTGTGGTAATTAAATCAACAGAGAAGACTCGGGTTGTCCTTGACCCACACAGACTCAGCAGATGCTGGGCAGCGGAGGAGAGTGGCTTCTAGGGTGGAGACTTCAAAGCATTGTTCGAAAGTTCTGTTAGTGAATTCGGATTTCACTGATAATCATCTATGTGCCCCCCCTCCACCCGTTACCTACTAGGAAGTGGTCTGAGCAGTGAAGACCATGTTTCTGTGCTGATGGTGGGGATTGGAATGTGCTGAGGAAAACCCAAACAGAAGTTCTGTGAGCAAACTTGGAGGGAGCCCCGCCCTCCTGCTGCAGAGCCATATCTCCCCAGAGGCTCCTGCACACCAGGCCTCCCTGCCTTCTTGGCTGTGACTGGCTCTGGGACACCTTTCTCCCTGACCCCCTCCTGAAAGTCCTCGTCATCCACTGAGGTTCCACTTCCAATGCCTTTCTACACAGGAAGTCCATATGTCCCCTGGAGGCCCACGGAGCGTGGGTGCAGCTGCCTTGTAGTAAAGGAATTGCCCCCCACACTGCAGCCACGTGATTGAGAGTCCAGCCTGGGGCAGAGCACAGGACAAGTGTGTCACAGGAAGACGCTGAGCAGGGGCTGGATGGATAGATGAGTGAGTGAGGGTGAATGGATGGATGAATGCGGAGAGATACATGTCGTTTGGGGGATAGTGGGCTGTTGCTCACAGCCCTAAAGGTGAGTGGTCTACTGTGAATCCCAGTGTCCACCTTTCCCTCTCCTGCACTGTGGTCAAGGGGACAGGGCAGGGTTTGAGACTTGTGTCCACCCTGAACAGAATGCAACTGTGGGCACGTTACTTTTGATATGTGAAATGGACTATTCAACCCAGCAGCAGATAATCCCAGATGCACTCACCTCCTCCCTGCCAACCGTAGCCCACCAGCCCGGCCTCAGCACAAGCCTGCTGCGGGGCGCTGCAGGACTTCAGCCCCAGGCCCCTCCTATGGGCCCATGGAGAGGCCGACTGCTCCCCATCTGGCTCAGCAGCGAGGCATCACACTCCAGGGAAGCCTGCCCGAAGTCTCTGTACAAGTTCATGAGCACCGCTCTGGCCTCCCGTGGCCAGCCAAGGTGATGCAGAGACCCTGGGGGGTTAGTGTGCCATGGAACGGACTGGGGCCACCTAGCAACAGGATTCAGGCAGGATGCTCTTTCTTGGCCAGTGGGAGTCCCTGTAAAACACCCACATTCCCAAGCAGTCGAGCAGTCAGCTGTCTCTGAGGAGTGGACCATTGGGTAGGCCGTCTCCTAAACTCTGCTGTCCTTCCTGCTCACTTCCCTGTCCTTGACCTCGCTGCCCTGGGACTGTACCTCAAAACTAGGTTTTCTTTTGCCTGTTCTCTATGGAGCCCCTGGCCAAGATGGGGAGTAGCCAAGCCATCATGCCATGGGCACCCCTGAGGATTAAATGAGATAATAGCTCCAAAGTCCCCAGGACTCCGGGGGAACCCAACATCCTGATGAGCGTTCTCAGGCTAAAGAATCGGGCTTCAGTTCCTCCCCGCCATGAAAGGTTCCAGCAGGAATCTTGGAAAAAGTGCTTCCAAAGCTACACAGCAAACATTGAATGTGCACTCGGGGAGTGCAAGGCCCTACCCCCGGGATAAGTGATTCACATTCTGTCAGGGGGATCTGGCCAGGGCAGTCCCAGGGTGGTGGCCAGTGGGAGGACACTGAGGCCCCCGGGAGGACCCTTCAGAGGTGCTCTATTTGAAAGGTGCAGAGGGGGAAACAGCAGGGAAAGGGAGGGGAGGCTGATTCTGAGAGGTGGCCTTAGAGGGGCTTGTTAATAAGCCATTTCAGCAGAGCCAGGAGACGGTGACTGACGTTCGTTCAGAGCCTTGCTTGGTCTTCACAAAACATTCTCCCTCTCGGGTACCTCGACCCCCCTGAGTTTCAGGATGTAGGTCTGATACTCCACTTTGCAGGTTGCAAGACTGAGGCTCATGGCGTAGATTGCTGGCCAGTCCCCTGGACCTGAGCTGGATGCACGGACTAAGATAAGAGCATCTGAGCAGCGTATGTTCAGGCTCTTGCACTTTGGGCCTGGATGACTCGAGCAAGTGACCAAATGATGGATTGGTTTACAAAGACAGGAAATGATATTGGTTGAAGAAACAGCATAAGTAAGGTCCCGAGGTCACCCGTGGCAGGGACCTCTGGGGACCTGCAATGGGTCATTGCTGTAGAGTAACAGGACAGAAAAATGGTGGGACCACAAGCCTCAGACCCTGAGGCCTGCAGTGCCGTGGTGGAGGGTTCCATGTGTCCCATGAACGGGGGACTCACCTTGAAGTGGCACCCCCTTTCTCCACAGAAAAGCCCTCTTCACCATGGCTGATTTTAGGACTGTCAGCAAAAGAGTCTCTGCAGCAGCGTCCAATGTAAATAAACTTCCTATTTTGTGTCGCCCTGTTTACTTGGCCACTGGCCGGGAAGATACGAGCACTCCAGGTGCTGGACACCCCTTACTAGTTTTCACAAACGTATCCAGTAGAGTACTGTGAAGAAATGTGCGAACCAGGCCTCTGGCCTTGAGCTGGGCTTCACAGAGATGTCTACATTTTTAAGATAAGTTACAAATGGGCTCCATGGTAACAGCTGGCAGGGGAGGAAAGAGAGGGGAGAAGAAGCTCTCCCCTTCTCAGGTGTTGTCCTTGAAGAGTTAACTTGCCCAGAACAGTGAAAGAAAAAGCTGCTTTTATGTGAACTTCTGCAGACTGTGAACTTCCGAGCCCCTCCCCTTACATGCTGGGGATAAAACTCTGAAACTCCCTGAACTCGGGGTTCAGGGGATTGATTGGTTACAGCAAAGGCTGTGCCCTCTGAACCTGGCTGCAGCCAAATAAAACTGTTTCCTGCTTTCTTCGGTGCCTTGCCTCTTGGTCCCTCCAACGACCTGAGGTTTCTGTACCACTTTGTGAGCCATGATCAGGTCTCTACTCTCAGATGACCCCGAGGTGATGCGAAGGACACAGCAGACACTGAGGTGGGACCCAGTGGGGGTAGAGGCAGGGCATGATCCCTGAGGGAGGTGCCTGGCCTGAAGGAGGAGATTAGGTCCCCACCCACCGCCCCAGTACAGAGGAAGTAGGGCTGGGAAGGGGCGTGAAGGTGTCCCACACACCTGAGTGAGTTCCCAGCAGGGTGCGGGTCTGCCTCTGCCCAGGGAGCTGCTCACTGAGTGCCACCCCTCTCCTCTCTAGCAGGTGTCCTCTGGAGCTGGGTGCAACTATCCCCAGTTCACACGTGAGCAGACCAGGGCCTCAAGTGTTCCTTAACTTTCCCAACAGGGTAGCATTCGCCCAGGTCAGGGGCCTGGGGCAGGCCCAGCTAGGCCTCCTGTCCTGGTGGAGGAGCCTGCCTTGACCAACACTCTGCTTTC